GAGTGGCCCAGTCAGAGTCCTGACCTCAACCCGATTGAAATGCTGTGGCATGTTAAGAGAGCGATTCACACCAGACATCCCCAAGAATATTGCTACACTGAAACAGTTTTGTGAAGAGGAGTGGTCCAAAATTACTCCAGATCGTTGTGCAGATCTGATCTGCACTAAAAACTTAGGTTATTGCTGCCAAAGGGGGTACTCAGTTATTAAGTCTGAAGGTTCACTTTTTCCTCCCTGCACTGTGAATGTTTATGTTATGTGTATTAAACAGTCTGTGTGTAGTATTATATAGCAGACTGTATATTGTATTGTGATTATATAATGATTCAGAGCATATATATATACGTAATATATACTTTTTCTTGCAACTATATATAGTGCCACCCTTGAAAGGGCCGCTTTTTGCCCAGGTTTCCCCCTTCTTTGTCCTGCAGCCAGGCGCACTGTATTTTCCACAGCCAGGTACACACACTCTTTCACTCGTTGTCTTCAATGACCAGTCTAGGAAATGTTTGTTTTTGGAGGTTTATTGTAGATCTGGGGATAGGGATGGGGAATTTAGTAGGATACTCCAAAATTAGAACTATTCAGAGTGAAGACATCTAGCTGATCTCTTAGTTGAGCACTTTTGAAGTCTTAGTTGAAAGCAGATAGCTCACTTCTCTTAAGATTGTAGCAGCAAGTAGTTTTAAGAGTGAACAAAGCCCCTTTTTGCAGTAATAGTAGTTACAGGGCTGAGCTCGTAAGGTATAGGCCAGTTACAACAGACTGTGATAGCCCAAAGGTAATGTAGCTGAGCAAAGTCCTTCTGTAGTAGCAACACTTGAACAAGCTCTTCAGAACACTAGCCAGTGTTCCCTTTCCTTTCTAAACCCATGCTGGCTACCAAGCACCAGGGGAGGTAGCACACACACAGAGTCCCCAAATTACTCAATATCTGTACTCACAAAGCCCAAGGACAGAATGGTTTCCTCCTCCTAATCTTGCAAGCAAAACCCTCCAGTGATACCAGGCAGAGCTTTGGCAGACAGCTCCCCTCAGTCAGCTTACTGTAGAACCATGGTCATTCTCTCTAGCTTCAGGCCCTCAGGTCAACCAACCTGAGGCCACATGGCAGCCAGTTCCAGGTGAGGCAAGCCTGCCTCTAGCCTGGCTTGGTTCAATCCTCTCCTGGGAAAAATGCTGAACCCATGTGCTCACAGAACATAAATACCACTCCCAGAATGCAGCGGGACTGCCCTCCCCTGCAATTGGCCATGGCTGTATCCATGTTCATGCTGTTCATTTTCGTAGTTCCTTTCCAGGTTCTGGAAGGCTCTCATAGCTTCCTGAAGGTGGGCAGAACTGAAGGCAAACTGAGCAGCACCAGAGCATCATGAGCAGACCTGACTAATCCATCACAGCACTCCGTTAAGCAGAGATCACAGCTAGATTTTTTTTTAAGTCTCCCTTTTAAGCAGAGAAACACAGCTATACTTAATCTAACTATACAAATCCTAGCACCTAACTAGGAGGGTGTTATATATGTATACGTACAGTATATACAAATACTGTGCCTAAAATCCTTTATAAAATATGTATATTCTACAGATTTAATTTCATTTAATTCATTCATTCAATTCATAAATATATATAAAGATTCTAAATTAGTACAGTCTGGGAACATAGATTTTTCCAAAACTGATTGGCCTTATCAAGCAAATGACATATAAACATTCCGAAATTGCTTTAACACTGTATTATCTTAAGGAATACTTGCTTTTTTACTTGCTTCAAATGCAAAGGCAAACGGTAACATTTACTCAATCAAAATAAAGACAGAACCTAGGGACTTCCTAGGTGGCCTGAGCATATTCCTACCACATTTATTCAATTTATATAGTATCGTTAAATGTAGTTCTTATATTTTAGCTCAATAAAGCTATACAAAGATTATAAAATAAATGTTTAACAGAAATGTTAAATATGTATATTCTTAAACATGCATATTGTAAATATCATGTGAGTTATGTTAAAAGGGTTACTTTATTTTATTTGAATGCAAAAAGGTTATTTTATTCTGAAGGCTACACTGATACTATAAAAAATATACACGTTGCAAAATGTCCCAGATTACAATACAGCATGTTAGGTCAATATCAACGCATTAACTATGTAATAAAACTGTGTAAATCCAAGTATGTTTTCTAATCAGAATACTGTATGTCAAAGTTTTAATGTCAAAGTAACTTTCCAAGACATCCAATATGGGAGTTGTAGTAAGCTGAGATAAATTAACTGGTTTGGCCAAATATCCATGTTTCCAGTGCAATTCACTATTAAATCAGTTTAACTAGTAAAGTTTTTACTTTTTTACATTTTTTAAACTGTTATGTTTGATGATTTTTTTATCATGCCAATTGAGTCACTGCTTATCCATTATGTCATGGATTTAAATCAAGAAACCTTTATTCTGGTTCTTGCCCCATTTCCCAGCCACAAGCATTATATGATTGTGTTTTCTCCCACACATAGGTGGCTCCTGACATTGCACAAAAAGATGGAGGGTCATTGCAACGTTCATAGGCTGGTGTTATAGAGGAGTGGTCATGGTTAATGACATAATCAGACATACCTAAATGATGGACTGGTCTATTCTATTCTACCCCTGCCTTTGAGCCCCCCCAAGGCAGACTATCACACAGACTTTATGTGATCAAATGAGTTAGTATTTCTGTTGTGATATCTTCAGATATTTCACCTAGTCTGCTGTCATTTAGTCAGTAACACAAAGCCATAGGTGTTCATTGTGCGCCATTACAACATTCCAGCCACTCGTGTTCTAACAACCAATCATGTCAGTTAATAAGGAGGGAGGATGTCAGTTTCCTGCACAGCATCCTTGTTTGCCCCTCTCCATTAGCACAGGGGTCACATTAGCTAAGTGAAGGTGAAAAACTGAGGGAGAAGAGAAACATTGGAATATTAATCAGTACCGGTGTGCAAGGGTGTATTTGCTTTGGAAGAAAAAAATCACCTCTAACGCTGAGTATCCTACATGTGGAAGTTGCAATACATAAAACTGTTAGTTTAGTTTTTTACAGTATAGAATGGGGTGCCTCAAGTTTGTGCAGAATTTTAAAGGGTGCATTGACTAAAAAAGGTTGAGAAACACTAACCTAGAAGAATGTACAATGACAGACTCTACCCTCTGCCACAGTCAACTAAATAAGAAATGGCTGTTCAGGAAGGAAGTTGGGTCAAAACCCAAAATTGTGCTCTATGCAAGACATAGTTCTGCCAGTGTTTTACATGTATATGATCTCGATGTTTATTTTTAGTCTATCAAAACAGCCAAATAAGGAAGAAAGGCGCTATCACCATCATTAAGTTAATTTTTCACATTTTTAGCAAATCATTCAAAAAACATTTGTATTAGTAGCCAGATCTGCTTATACAAGTCACTAATTACTTCAAATTTGTTTGAAATAATTTGTCAAGCTCATCAGAAAAGCTGTTTAATTTAATGCAGTAACCAAGATATGGAACAGACAGTTTTGATTGTTAATAAAATTGCAGATAATGATACTTTGCACTAGAAATAGCATAATTCTAAATTTGGTGGGCACAGTTAGTATGCAGTTTGAAATGACTGTGCTGTCGGCAGATAACATTCATCTGATTTCAGTCAAGATGTTGCACCTACTATTTCATATTTTGCCACCCATATGTAATTTTGCCACCTATTTTTAGCAAAAAAAGATGTGTTTCTCCCTTTAAGAACTTCAATTTAATAGAAGAAATAATGGGTTAAAAAGCACAAAAGCAAAAAAAAATCTATTATGGTTCTAAAGATGAGGCTTTAAAAAGCATGATTGTGCCTCTAATTTAATACCTGATAGGACATTACTCTAGAGGCCATAACAATTTTTTCCTGACCATCTCTGTTACATTAGTGGAAGTTCTTTGCTGTGCTTGTGATATGCTTTTCTGTCTGAATCTTAAGAAAAATATAGAGGATAGGCTCTCCCCACCCATCATTTTCAAGAATATATCTAATTGCATGTGGCTAACCTTTACATCTGGGCTGCCAGACTTAAATTATGGGCAAATTAGGAACACTTTTTTGACACATGAGATGTACAGCATTTAATTTTTCAATAAGGTTACTGTATTATTGTCCAGTTTAGTAATGATTTTATGTACTGTCACTTACAGCAATGTGTGACAGGGTGATTTAAGGTGTGCTGCAATCATGGCAATTAACAGGTTACATTTAGAATGAGGCACTTTTGTTTTTCCTGTACTATCTAATGATACTTAGTAATGCTTACATCTGCCTCATCTTTAGCAAAAAGTGGATGGTGAGTAGTCAGTTTAAGCCGTAAAGTTTTAGGTGCAAGGAGATACCTCTTTATAAGGGTCTTTCAGGCTTATCTCCTTGTTTCAGTCCCCATAGTTAGGGTTTCAGGGTCCAACCATGCACTCAAAAACTAGGAGGCCATCTGAGACTTCTAAGGGCAACAGGGGTTGTAGCTCAGTCCCTAACCTGCCTCATAGCGTAAATGTATTTCCATCATCTGTAACTTCTGTGATAAAATATCTGGAAGAGCTGTTATAACAAATACCCCCAAACACAAGAGGAAATCAAGTTATCACTGCAGATAACTAAAGAAATACAAACTATGATGATTTTTAATGGATTCTAATTGTGTCAGTTTACAAGTTAGTATAGTGAGTTTTTATATAATTTTTAAATGTATACAACATTTCCTTTATAATCAAACACTTTTATTACAGGTTGCATCCATGAAGCTTAGTTTGCACAGCATGCTGGGCTAATAAGAAAGCCTAGAAATATCTGCATACTTAGAAGACTGTGTATAACTGACTAAGACAGATGGTTCCATCTCTGTTAGGAGACGGGGATAGGGTGTGACCATCCTATGTAAGTCTGCAGAGCACATTATTCCCACTTCTAGTCAGGCCATCTGAAAAATAATAATTGCCATTCTGTTTAGATCAGGGGTGGACTGACCATTTGGAAAATCGGGCACTGCCCAAGGGCCCGGGGTCAGTAGGGGACCCCATGAGATGCCCCTGGTACCTTTTTCATAGGCTTTTTTGAGTGTGGATGAGGACACAGGGGCCCCATGATCCCCTATTGCCCGGGGGCCCCATGAGTTGTCAGTCCGCCCCTGGTTTAGATGCTCACTTTCTTCAGTACTATGAGTATGCAGATGTTAACTTCTGATTTTTCTCATCTCAGGGCAGGAATAACCATTAAGCTAGCCATACTAGATCAAAATTCGGAGGGTTCAGCAGGGACCAGATTAATTTTGATCCCATGTATGCGTGTATCCATGTATGCGCAGAATGTTTGTACAGAAGTTGATCTCCTGATCGACTTCTGCACAACCGTCCTTTTGGATTTTCCTCACTTGTTGTGTAGCAGGTTACATCCTGCAACACTAGTCAGTGTATTCTGATGATGGAAAAAGTCTCCCCTCCATCAGAACACAATAGCTCAGTGGGGAAGATTCCCCCATAACATTGAGTGTGTGGATGGGGGAATAAAGTCTGTTTTTTTTAATTCAACTTGCTGGTTGAATGAAAAAAAAAATTACTAACCTATGGACTGCCGTAGGCAAGTAGGCCTGTGCCTTTAGGTGCCAGAAGCAAGGAAGATACTTTTCTTGGCATAGTTATTGTCTGCACATTTTATCCCTAATTAGCAGAAAGACAGATATCTCATAAAATCTGTTAAATACATGTCACTATATGTGTGTCCAGGCTCCACTAACGGAAAACCTACCCTGCTGAACATGTGGAAGCTATTTAATCAGCATTACAGCCACATCTCCTGGGTTTACTATATCAAGTTTATTTTAAGTAAAAGCAGAAGAATGTAAGAATTTAAGCCAGTAAAATGGCATTCATAGGACTAATATATACAGTATGTACATATATACTGTATGTGTGTGTATGTATATGTATGTATGTATATGTATATATATGTATATATATATATATATATATATATATATATATATATATATATATGGACCAAATATATATGGACCTGCCTCTATCTATCTATATATATATATGTATATACATATACACAGTCAGGTCCATATATATTTGGACACAGGCAAAGTTTTAGTTTTTTTTTCAGGTATTTAGCAAAACATATTCAAGCTATAGTTATATAATGGATATGGGCTGAAAGTGCACACTCTCAGGTTTAATTTGAAGGTATGTACATCCACACTGGAGAAAGGGTTTAGGAATTACAGCTCTTAAGAGTAGCCATACCCCCTTTTTCAAGGAACCTTTCTATGATAAAGAAAAACCTATTCACATCATCCAGAAAAGTGAAGAACACTCACCAGGAGGTGGGCGTATCATTGTCAAAGTGTACAATCAAGAGAAGACTTCACGAGAGCAAATACAGAGGGTTCACCACAAGGTGCAAACCATTCATAAGCCTGATGAATAGAAAAGCCAGATTAGACTTTGCCAAAAAAAAATTTAAAAAGCCAGACCAGTTCTGGAAAAGCATTCTTTGGACGGATGAAGTTAAGATTAATCTGTACCAGAATGACGGGAAGAAAAAGTGTGGAGAAGGCTTGGAACAGCTCATGAGCTGAAGCACACAACGTCATCTGTAAAACATGGTGGAGGCAGTGTGATGGCATGGGCATGCATGGCTTCCAGTGGCACTGGGTCATTGGTGTTTATTGATGATGTGACAGAAGACAGAAGCAGCCAGATGAATTCTGCAGTATTTAGAGATATACTGTCAGCCCAGATTCAGCCAAATGCAGCAAAGTTGATTGGACGGCGCTTCACAGTACAGACAAACAATGATCCAAAACACACTGCAAAAGCAACCCGGGAGCTTTTGAAGGAAAATCACCTGATCTCAGTCTGCTTTGTCTCTATATATGAGAAGAACCAACGGAAAATGGCGCCGGAGCCTTCGCGCGTGCACAGTAAGGTTATAGATTCCAGATGTTTAGACGCTTGTCTGCTCTGTCTTTCTATATGGGAAAACCAACGGAAAATGGTGCCCGAACCCTTGCGCTTGTGCAGTATGGTTTGCGCTTCTCCAATATGGCGGCTGCTTAATGCGCATGTGCCGATTTCTCTATAAATATAAATGGCGGACGACGCGGTGTGATTGCCGATCCCCCTCTGAGGACGTGCTTGAGCATGATACGCATCAGGAGGAGCCACATCACGCCGTGACATCATGCCACCGGAGCAACGTGGAGCCATCTTTAAAAATCAGATGGTTAGTCCTGACCGATCGCTGTCTGTTGATTTTATCCTTTGATGCATCACAATAAAATAGTATAATACCTACTACACTATGGGAGTATCCTTGTCCCTTCCCCCTGGGGGAGCTTTCTAAATTTACAGACCCACTACTCCAGGACAGATTACTATACCTATAGTGGATATATGCATACCCAGTGAGCAACATCAGTTTCTTGAAAGGGGGAACTCTAGAGGACGAGGACCACCTGTACCAACCCCATAGTATCCTTTCTGATGACCCATCATCCCTAAGAGGGAAGATCTTCCAGTTCCTGACCCTCTCCTATCTGATGACATCTGGATTAATAATATAAGGTGCATTTTACATGCGCGTCCGGTGAGTGCGCATTACCTTTACCACTATTGCACTGATACTGGGTCCAGAGCCACCAGAGCACAAGAGTCACCTTTATCCTATATATTGAGTATATATCGGAAATTTTTATCATATTTATCACTTTCATTATTTATATCATCTGTTTGTGGATAGGATATTAATTGATCGTATTAAGTCATTGATTTTATTTGCTTGGTTATCTTATTTATGTCAGCGCTGCACTTTTTTATATATTGTGTATAAAAATGGTTGCAGTTCCTAAAATGAGTATTTAAGAACTGTCATCGTGATGCCAGCTGTCAGACGGTGGGAGCCAGCGTCGAGAGCGAAGTGGGGTTTTTTTTTTCCTTTTTTCAGGCCGGCGTTGATGGTGAGCATTGTGATTGACATTGGATCTACTTCGGAGGACATTTTTTAATCTTTAATAAAGGAATTGTCAAAGACCGTCTCCTGTCATTTTTTACAACACTTTTTTTTTTTTTGTGAATGGATAGCAGTACCATGTACTGCATACTAATTCACATGGGGGAGGGGGGCCAGGATCTGGGGGCCCCCTTGTTAAAGGGGGCTTCCAGTTTCCAATAAGCCCCCCCGCATGCAGACCCCCACAACCATCGGCCATAGTTGTGGGGAAGAGGCCCTTGTCCCCATCAACATTTTTTGGGGGGAGAGACCACCACCCAATAGCACCCCCCATTTTGAGGGAATGTGGCCTGGTATGGTTCAAGAGGGGGGTCTGCTTGTTTATACCCCCTTTTTCCTTACCTCCCGTGCTAAATGCTCGTATATGGGTCTGGTATGGATTTTGGGGGGACCCCCATGGGAATTTTTTAAAATTTTGGCATTGACGCCATTTTTTTTACATTTTTTAATCATCGGCAATGCTAACAACTCTTTTTAGGTTCAGGTGTCAGCGGGAACCTCACTGACAGCTGAAATATGAATGTTTCACTACTAAAATACCGCATGACTTAATATAACTCATACAGTATTTTAGAAGCTGAGTGATATCTTACCGCATATTCAGATGCGGTAAGATACCATTTAGTAAATGGTCCCTGTTCAAAGTTCTCGGTCGAACATTCTGTATGTTTGAATGTTTGACCGTGAACCAAACAGGGGGGTGTTCTGCCAATCACTACACCTAGGCATGCAGACTGCTTCGACAAACATTTTGTGAAAGAATGGGTTGCTCTCAGGAGCTCAGTGAATTCAAGCATGGTACCGTGATAGGTTGCCATCTGTGCAACAAGTCCATCCATGAAATTTCCTTGTTACTAAATATTCCATGGTCAACTGTTACTGATATTATAACAAAGTGGAAGCAACTGGGAACAACAGTAACTCAACCACAAAGTGGTAGGCCACATAAAATGACAGAGTGGGGTCAGCGCATGCTGAAGCACACAGTGCGCAGAAGCCACCGACTGTCTGCAGAGCCAAAAGTGAAAGACCTCCAAACAACATGAAGACTTCAGATTAGCACAACAGTGCATAGTGAGCTTCATGGAATGGGTTTTCATGGCCGAGCAGCTGTATCCAAGCCTCACATCACCAAGTGTAATGCAAAGTGTCGGATGCAATGGTATAAAGAACGCCGCCACTGGACTCTGGAGCAGTGAAGACGTGTTCTCTGGAGTGATGAATCACGCTTCTCTGTCTGGCAATCTGGTGAACGTGTCTGGGTTTGGCGGTTGCCAGGAGAACGGTACTTGCCTGACTGCATTGTACCTAGTGAAAATTTTGGTGATGGGGATTATGGTGGGGGGTTGTTTTTTAGGGGTTGGGCTTGGCCCCTTAGTTCCAATGAAGGGAACTCCTTAAGGCATCAGAATACCAAGACATTTTGTACAATTTCATGCTCCCAACTTTGTGGGAACAGTTTGGGGATGACCCCTTCCTGTTCCAACATGACTGCACACCAATGCACAAAGCAAGGTCCATAAAGACATGGATGAGCGAGTTTGGGGTGGAGGAACTTGACTGGCATGCAGAGTCCTGATCTCAACCCGATAGAACACCTTTGGGATGACTTTTGGGAGTAGAGACTGCAAGCCAGGCCTTCTTGTCTGACATCAGTGCCTAACCTCACAAATGCGCTTCTGGAAGAATAATCAAACATTCCCATAGACACACTCCTAAACCTTGTGGACAGCCTTCCGAGAAGAGTTGAAGCTATTATAGCTGCAAAGGGTGGGCCAACTCAATATTGAACTCTAACCTACAGACTAAGACTGGGATGCCATCATTAAAGTTCGTGTGCGTGTAAAAGCAGGTGCCCCAATATAGTGTGTGTGTGTGTGTGTGTATATATATATATATATATAATTTATATACAGAGAGAGAGAGAGCTCACAAAGTTTCTTTCGTATGTAGAAAAACCCTCTGGTTATGGTGAGCAAACGCTATCAGATCTGTACATTTTTGACTCGGATAAAAAAGCAACATTCATATATTAATTTGTTTCCTAAAATTGTATTTTTGTTTTGTCAGTTCTATGATGTACAGTGTACAGATATCTCATCTATTTTAAGTTAGGTTATTTCATTTGTCATTATTGCTCCTAAAAGTATTCTATTATTTAAGCTTCTGAATTTTATGAAACCATAAAAGAG